CTATATAAGTGTAAGCAATTATTATTATTATTATAATTATTATTATTTATGGGAAGCGATTGGCCTTATCCTCCTACAAGTAGGCATCATTCTATTTCTAAGTGTTAGTCTTGACATTTCACCCTCTTCACCTCAGTATTTCCTTACTGTAATCTTAAAGTCGCAAACCCACCTGAAATATTATAGTATGCCATCGTAATGCTTCTCCGTGCCATTCGGAGGTGTTTGTTGATCGTCCCGCCATTGCCTTTTAAATTAATCTAACAGGTTGTGTTGGATAATACCTGAACACTGTCTCCAGCGTCCAAACCTTCCGTCTTGAGATCCACCTTGTAATTCAGAAATATCACCGATGATTCATTGGACAGACTTCTTTGAAGTGTCAAAAGAGAACAAAGTAGTATCCTCAGCACTGAGTGCTTCTAGAGAAAGTCCAATAAATCTTGAGTAGATCTTGCTCGCTATCCTGGTGGACAACATCCAGGCGGATGCTGCACATTGGTGGTGGTGGTGTAGGGGAGTCCCCATTACCTGTAAAGCGATTTGAATGGATTGTCCAGAAAAGGGCTGTATAAGTGTAAGCAATTATTAATTAATTAATTAATTTATTTATTATTATTATTATTATTATTATTATTATTATTATTAATTACTATGACTCTGGTCATAGTCTGCATTGTTGGCTCACTGCTGCACAGCTCCAGTCACGCAGAGCTGCAGTGTCCACAGGTCCTAAAAACCTGGTGAATTCACGTCGTTGAGGACTTTATTTGTATGTCTGTGTATTACTGTAGAGTAGATAATTAAATTGTCGCAGTACCAAAGGTATCATTATAAGTACTAGTCATCTTTCTTTAATATGACTCCTGGTTTTCATACTTTTTTTTACAAAAAGGGTTCTTTACAAAACTCAAAAAACTCTCAGTCTACGGTTTTACCATTTTAAGCATTTGCGTTTTGTATTATTATTTTAGATTTTGCCTTTCATGACGCTTTTCTAGTTACATTACAGCAAAAACCAAAGCCAAAGCAAAAACATTAAATACAAATTAATAAGCAAAACATAATGCAATAAATAAAACAGATTTAAAAGCTGCTGTATAGACACAGGCTTAGGACAGGATTTAAAGCTGCTGACAGACTTCCACAACCTAATATGGGCTGGAAGATCATTTCACATCCTTTTGGTAACAGAACAGAAAGCACAGTCTCCCAGGGCCCAGACCCCGGTTTCGGAAACTGAAAGAAGGGCCAAAGAGCACAGACAAGGTTCAGGTGTCTCAGGAGGTAACTGCTCATGGAGGGCCTTAAAGGTGAACAGCTGTATTTTAAATTGTATTTTGAAATCCACAGGGAGTCAGTGCAAGAAAACGTGCTGTGTTGTGTCAAAAGTAGATTAAGCACTTTTCTGTAGCTTGCAATATTTTAATTGGTAAAAAAGGGCCTTCTTCTGATTAGGTAAGCAAGGTATTCTCATCCTTATGTCTGCAAAGAGCTTCTATGGGTTGATTGTGAATATTGTTCAAGTATAGCAGTCCAGCCTGCCCTTGAACGGTAGTCTCCCAGCAGCCTATGAATTAATGGAGGTTACTGCAGTGACCTCTCTGAGGGAATCAATCAGTTAATGACTGATGCTTTCTCTTCATGCAGCTCTGACACACTGCTGAATCTTAAGCACAGAAAGTCTTGTCTCTTTCTCATAGTGGACAGCACCTCCCTACAATACATTTCTGCTATTGCATACTAAGAACAGGTGGTGGGGT